TGTGGGGGAATATGGCTTGGGAAACAGAAACGAACGTGGAGATCGACTTGTCCAGTTCTGTCAAGAACACGATTTCATTATATCGAATACCCATTTAAACTACCACCGAGAAGACTCTACACCTGGAAGTCAAATGCAGAATCAGAGGAAAAAATTATTAGGAATCAAATCGACTTCATTCTAATAAAAAATCGATTTAGAAACTGCATCAAATCAGTTAGAACTTATCCAGATGCTGACATTGGGTCCGATCACAATCCCATAGTAGCTGTAACCCAATTAAAATTAAAAAAGGTGATCAAAAAGAAGTCTCGCAAAAAGATTGATACAGCCCAACTACAAGACGAGAAAGTTAAGGAATCAGTTTAAAGACAACTGAATGGAAATTTAATTTGGGAAAATATTCGTGAAAACGTCGATGAGGGCTTAAATAAAATCGTAACGACAGTAAAAGAAATCTTTGTGAGAAATTTACAAGGCAGGTCAAAGCCAAAAAAACATGCTTGGATGACAGATGATATACTGGATTTGATGGAACAACGGCGACTAGCAAAAACCAACGAAACACTTTACAATAGCATACAAAAAGAAATTCGACTTAAAATACGAGAAGCAAAGAGTCAACATCTAGCCAAACAGTGTCGTGACATTGAAGAATTCGAAAAAAGATACGACACGTTTAACATGTATAAAAAAATAAAAGAAGCGGCTGGTATCTTCAATAAGAAACAAAATGCATTGCTACAGGATGAAAATGGTAAAGTAATATTCGAAGTAGAGGACAAACTTAAAGAATGGGAAAATTACGTCACGAACCTATTCGAAGACGATAGGAGTAGTTCACCTTCCGATATTACTAACTACGACGGACCCCTAATAACACGCTGTGAGGTTATTAAGGCCATACAATCATCAAAAGATGGCAGAGCGACTGGTCCTGATGAAAATTCCAACTGAAATATATAAGCTTATAAAGGATAGCAATGTTTTAAAGGCTATAACTTCGTTTTTTCAATACCATCTATACCAGCGGACAACTACCTAATGGTTGGTCTAACTCACTGTTTATAGCTCTACCTAAGAAGACAACAGCAAAAATCTGTGCTGATTATAGAACCATCAGTTTGTGAAACCACTTATTGAAAATATTTCTGAAGGTAATACATGGTCGTATCTACAATAAATGTGAGGAATACCTGGATGACACTCAGTTTGGTTTCCGTAACGGATTTGGAACGAGAGAGCACTGTTATGGAATGAACTTACTTGCTCAAAGATGTCGTGATATATCTGTAGACATATACTGTTGTTTTATTGACTTTTAAAAGGCATTTGATCGTGTTAAGCACTCTATATTGATCGAAGCTCTAAAAGACATTGGCTTGGACGGCAGAGATGTTCGCATAATTGCAAATTTATATTGGAATCAAACAACATCAGTTTTAGTAGATGGTGTGAAATCACAAGCTCTCAATATTACAAGAGGAGTACGGCAGGGATGCCTCTTGTCACCCCTGCTTTTTAACGTTTTACTCCGAAAGAATTTTCAGAAAAGCACTTTCTGAAAAACAAGAAGGAATACTTGTGAACGGCGAAGTCATCAATAATTTGCGATATGCGGACGATACAGTACTCCTAGCTTCTAGTCAAGAAGATCTGCAAACACTACTTGATAGTGTCGTTGAGAGTTGTAGGGAGGCAGGTCTGGATCTTAACATAAGGAAAACCAAATACTCGTAATAAGTAAACAACAGAATATAAAACCGTCTACATATGTAAATAATACCAAACTTGAGCAAGTTGATAAAATCGTCTACCTTGGACAGCAATTAAATTGTAATGCAGAAGATCACGGCGAAATTAGATCCAGAATAGAGCATGCTAGAGCTGCTTTTAGAAGGATGTCCAAGGTGTTATGTAACAGAGACCTAAAATTGGCATTAAGGATCCGCCTACTTCGCTGCTACGTGTTCTTGGTCTTACTTTATGCTGTCGAGTCCTATACTGTGAATAAAATCGATCTAAATCGCCTTAAAGCTTTCGAAATGTGGTGCTATACAAGAATTTTAAAAGTTTCCTGGGTGGAGAAGATTCGTAACTCCACATTACTAGAACGTCTCAGCAAGACTAATGAGATCATAAAAAGCATCAAGCAGAGAAAGCTGGAATATTCCGGACATCAAAATTCGACATATTTGACAAAAATATTACATTTTTACGGTACATACGGTGCTTATGCGAAGAAAAGTAATTTCCCTCTGGTAAGTTTAATATTACGATAACAAACAATATACCGTACAAAAAATATGCTAATTAGATTTAAAGGTATTATAGTCCAGGTTGTGAGTCCGGTTCTGTAGGAAAATTGTTTCTGATTCGACTTTTTACAGATTTCTATTCAAAAATTTCACCTTTAAACAAGTCAGAAGAGTGTCAGGAACAATTTTTGGGTGAAAATTGTGAAAACAAATTCTAAAAATAACAAGTTTTTAAAGACTTGTTATTTTTACCATTCAAAATGGGCGGCACAGTAAAAAAAATTAATCAAAATAACGATCCAAAACTACGTGTATGAATGCCGTAATGTATCAAATTACCGAAAATGGGGTCAAAATTTTCCGAAAATCAAATATTGTACTGTTACTGGATATTGTTTTACGTCATTAGGTCCCAAGTCATTATTTTTTATTACCTACCTAATTTATACATGCCGTAAAAAAATGTTTGACTGAAATACCCAGCCCTCACCCGTGAGTTGTAAGTTTACCTTACCTGTGTACACATTGCTACATGTACCAAAATAAAATATAATAAATAAAGTATATAAATATATGTATATATATATATATGTAAATAATATATATATTATATATATATATATATAAATATATATAAATATATATATATGTATATATATATAAATATATGTATAATAATGTATGTGTAAATAATGTAATGTTATATATAAGTATAATAAAGTAATAATAAAGTACTAGCTCAGTCAACTGACCCCTTAAAAATGTCCCATAGGCTTCCTGTATACTCGTAAATTTTGAAACTTTTTGGGACAATTTAAGGTGACACTATCAGGGCCATATTAATAATAATAATACACTCAGATGCAAAAAAAAGCAACGGAGAAAATTTTGGTCAAATTTTTGGAAAGAATATCATATCGACGTTGTTGTATTTAAATATTGATTAAAAGCAACGACATGTTGGTTATTATGAACAATGGTAACAATAACATAGCATAAAAAAAACTTAAATATAACTCAACCTAAGTACGCAAATAACAAAAAAAAACTACTAAAAAACAACTTTATAGTTGTATTGCGTCTCCTAGCCTCTATAACTGCCTAAACACGTCGGCTCATGCTGTCTATGAGGTTTCGAATATCATCCTGCTGGATGTTTTGTCATTCCTCTTCTAGAACCAAGCGAAATTTGTTAATTGAGGCCGATGCTACTTTGCGACCTCTAATATTTCTAACAAGCATGTCCCAAACGTGCTATATTGGGTTCAGATCTAGCAGACACGCTGGCCAGTTCATTTTATTATGACCATATATATATATATATATAATATATATATAATATAATATATATATAATATATATATATATATATATATATATATATATATAATATATATATATATATATATATATAATATATATATATATATAATGAACCAGAAGTATTAGCTGACCACGTAAGGAAGTAAACTTTAAATATTGGGTATGCACTCTTTGTACTCTAAGTTGTACTCTTTTAAAATTTTTAATCCAAGCTTTCGGACATTGGTTATGTCCTTCATCAGGGAGCTACAAATGTGATGAATAATTTTTTCAAATTTGTATAATTAATTAAAAATTCGATAGTTACAAACTTAATGAGGTTGTATCATAAATGATTTTATAAAATGTTGTATATATATATATATAGTACCGATTCGAACTTCGGACAATATAGGACCTTAATAATTTGCTCCGTTGAAAACGGAACCAACCGGTTTTCGACTTATTTGGGTTTTTAGTTTAGATGTTTGTAAATAAACATATTATACATTTAAAGTTATACAGTTGTTTTAAAAGACTCCTCTAACAGGGGAGTCTAGTGAACACAGAACTTGTGCGGGTGTGTTTTTGATAGACAAAAAGATCAGTGCAGTTGAAAATCAAATTCATATTAGTAATGTAGAAATGGACACGGACATAAACTTATTAAAAGGTAAATAAAATATGGGCGAAAAAACTTCTGATAAATCACACACAAACGAAACTCGTCTGTTCAATGTTTTGTTAGATAATTATAATTTTAATATTATTCATGTTTATATAGAAAATATTAACAATGACAATCTAGGACGTTTACATCCCTTATCAATTGGCCATATCTTACATAAAAAAGTACACAAATTTGTCGACAGCAAAAGTACTAAAAATTTGGAGAATGCATCACAGAGTAGAAGAAAATGATGAGATAAAATATAAACCTAAACAAATGATTATTGTCACATTCGAACGAAATATTTTACCTGGTCAAATATCTATTAAGAGAGTCTTTTTTCCCGTTGAACAATTTGTTGGTCGTGTAACACAATGTTACAATTGTTAAAAGTTTGGGCATATATCCAAATAATGTAAAAGCACTTGTTCCGCATGCATTAACTGAAGGGGTTAGAAGCAAAAGGGTACAAGTGCATATTTTCTATGAAATTAGTTATGTGCAGATTTGGGTAGTTAAAATATCAATTTATATAGTGGCATAAGAATCCAAATGAATTCAATACCTATGGTGCCATCTATTGGCTAGTGGAAATTACATAGAAATAAAAATGTAGAAAACGTTGGTGGCAAAATGGTACAAACACGCTTGTACCGTTTTGCCTCCAAACGTTTGCGGTAAAATCTTTGGCGGTAAATGTTAAGTTGTAGGTTATATTCTTTTGTTTTAGTTTGATATTGTCGGTTCTCGTGTAAATTTAATTTGTTAAAATGAGTGAAAACAATAGCAGTAATAAACGTAGATGTGCTAAAAGTGAGTACCAAATTGTTAAACATTATAAACATTCATTAAAATAAATTTTTAGTTGATTTGCAAACATTACCCATAAAATATTTTTATATTTTGCAGGATTTCAAGTCTATAAACCTGATATCCATGATTCTGATGGTGATTCGGATCCTTATGCAACTGATGGGGATAGTGAATATTATGAATTAACTTCAGACTCTTTATCCGAGGAGGAAGGTGGCTATAATCTCAATCCTAACATATTGGTATCAAATAGTAGCATTGAGGCGACGTCAGCTTCGGTTCATGGTAAAGTTTTTATATTGTTTCATTCACGGTGCACAAAATAACACACATTTTTTTAGTTACGCCCAAGAGAACACGAAAAAGGCAAATAAAAAAAGACGAATGGAAAAGAATGAAGGCAAAGAAAGCAAGAATAAGTGGAAACGAATATAAAACGAAAAAAGGTAAAACTATCAAAAAAAGGGAAATGGAGTTTTGGATGCACGAATGCAGGTACGACTGCATGAAAATATCAGAAAATGATGCACTAAGTGTTTTTTACAAAGTTTTATGAACTTCAAACATACGAGTTACAAACAAATTATATTGGTTCCTGTATTAAGAAGGTGCCTCCCAAGAGAGTAAAAGCTGAGGCACGCTATCACAAAGAATTTGTCACCCATATTCTCCTGATGGGCTTTAGAGTCTGCAAAACATTCTATTTAAAACTATTAGGAATAACTAATCGCAGATTTAATACGGTGTGTAATAAACTATCCAAGGAAGGATTTCTGGAAGGCGATAAACGTGGCAAACATACACCATCCAACAAAATAAGTAAAGAGAGACGTGATGACGTCATATCCCACATCAAAATGTTTCCGAGATATAAGAGCCATTATTCTCGGTTAGAAAATTCTGCCTCCAGATATTTAGCAACTGATCTAAATATCAAAAAAATGTACACCCTCTATCTTGAATGGTGCTCAGAATTAAATAAATTACCAGTAAAGGAAACATACTATAGGCATATTTTTTGTACTGAGTTTAATTTGAAATTTCATAAACCCCATTCAGATACATGCGATAGATGCGATCGATTGAATAACTTAATAAGATATGGCTCCAGTAGCGAAGTCATTACACAAAGTAAAACAGAGCTGGAGGTACATCATAGAGTTGTAGAAAGTGTTGTAGCTGCCAAGAAAAAAGACACTGAATATTGCACAGAACACTCTCTCTCAACTCGCTTAATATCCTTCGACTTGGAAAAAACGCTAGCCACACCCCTGCTCACTACTAATAAGATATATTACCTCAGACAGCTGTGGACATATAATTTTTGCATACATGAAGTCATTTCTGGTAAATCTTACATGTATACTTGGAATGAAACAATTGCTGCACGAGGCTCTCAAGAAATTGGTTCTTGTCTGGTGAAGGTAAATTTTATTACTCCTATATGTGTTTGAAAATTGTTGAATGCTACTTTTTTTATTTAATTTTTAGTATGTTAAGCAGCTGCCCCCAGAAGTTAAACATCTAGTTGCCTATTCTGATTCCTGTGGAGGGCAAAATAAAAATAAAAACATAGCTAAGCTGTTCATGTATCTGGTGCAATGTACTAGTCTGGAAAGAATAGACCACAAATTTTATGAAAGTGGGCATTCATACATGGAATGCGATAGATCGTTTGGCCAAATCGAAAAAAGGAAGAAGAAATACCCTCAAGTATTTATACCTGATGATTGGGTTGACATTATTAAAAAGACAAGTAAAAATTTCATTGTCACCTGCATGAGTGACGCCGATTTTCTCTCATTCCAATATCTTCATGAGAACATAAAGGATCCAAAGAAAGATGAAGAAAACCGAATATTCAGATGGCGTCAAAATGTCTGGTTTATTTATACAAAGAATGACTTTTTGAAGTTTTCTTTTAGGGTGTCCAGAAATGAAAGCTGGACTCCAATTTATACCGAAAGTTGCTCTAACCTAACAAGGGGAAGACCAACCTTCACATTGGAAAACCTCAATAAAAAACTCTACAAGAACGCATTAAAAATTTCATATGAAAAGTATGAAAATTTAAGGACATTATTATATTATATACCCCCTTGCCATCATCAATTTTATATTGATTTGCCTCATGAAAGTAAAAAAGGCAAGAAAGCAAGAAAAACAGCTAATATAACCCAGTTAGATATACCGTCAACTTCCGAGGTAGATGTGAATATACTGCCAACTCAGACATCAGAAAGTGAAGGTGATAACAGCGATGTTCAGGATCTGTTGGACTCAGATTATGATGATTAATTAATGAATGTTTATAATTATTATTTTTATTATCTAAACTATAAATAAGTTTGCTATTTTCACTAATAAAACATTCCGAAATACCAAGTTTTTTAAATTTATTTGGAAGCAAAACGGTACAAGTGCACAAAAAAACAAAAACAGGAAATTTTTGAAAAAATGTCTTATGCTAACAAAATTTATGAGATTGCAACATTTAAGTTGCCGAAGAAATGAAAAATGCAATAGCTCTCTGGATTTTACAATAAAACAAAAACTTTAACATTGAATATCTCTATTTTTCATTTTTGTCACTTGTACCCTTTTGCTTCTAACCCCTTCAACTGTGGTTCAGAAAAAAATCAAAATCACAATGTAAACAAAAAGAAAAATTCTGCATACATTGTAAAACCAGTGGACATGTATCTATAGATAAAAAATGCCCTTACTATGACAACCAAAAGAAAATTAAAAACATTATGTTTAATTATACGGTTTCGTACACTGAAGCAAAATCTTTTAGCGAATCTTCTTTTGCCGGCTTTACAGGGAATAACAGATTCTCGCCTCTGACTAAACTTGATGAAAATTTTCCTTCTTTAACAGCAAATCAACATTTTTTTTTCGTCCGAACCTATTTGGCCAAGAAAACATCGTTTACAAAATAATATGTTTCAAATTCAACCTAGTACATCTAGGAATATAAATCATTTTGAAAGCAATAGAAAGAAAAGTTAAGCAGGATCTCCTATCACGTTATCTCCCACTCAACCTCCTTTATTTCCTTTTTAATTTGATCCATCTAAATCATTGTCATCCAATTCACATAAAACAAATACTAATGATATCGAATTTATTAGAAATAACTTGTTTAAATCTTTATTTACAAATTGTGATAATTTTTTTTAATAAAATACAAACTATCGATAATATAAAAAAATATAAATAAAACGAAACTCTTAGTGTCGTTACATACTATAAGAAAAACACCCGCCCGGGTCTTTAACGGTCCGAGTGTTTTTCGTATAAATCGTACCAGGGCATTTAAACATATTAGTCTTTTCACATTATACAAGAAACGGAGTAACGCCCGGCCGAGACCGAATACCTCTCGGATCCCTGCTGCTTCGTCCGAGTCTCGGACCGGGCATTTCACCGTACCGAGACTTAGTGGGGCATTGGCGTAAATATATCACTACACACTGTTCCTGTAGTACTCGGACGCAGTGATCCGAGAGCATCTGGGTTGTACTGGTGTTGTGTGTGCGATCACTACTACTATGACGTCCGAACGGGAAATTGACATAGACGTGCTAATAAGTTTGGTAGAAGATTATCCTGTAATTTGGAACAAAAGTTCGAGGAATATAAAGACAGGAATAAAACAAGAGATGCTTGGAGAGAGATCTGCATCAAACTGGATGAAAACTTCGACCAAGTAGATGCCGTGGAGCGCAAACAATTTGGTGAGTACATTTGGCTATATTATATTATTATTTTGTTTTATATGTCCACTACAAGTTATTGAAGCTCATATAAATTTTATAAATTTTATTATTATTGTGAAATAAGTATCTATAGTAACAATTATGCAATTTATTAATCTAAATTTTTGAGTTTTGCCACGGCACAGAGCCTTCATCTGTTACAAAATAGTCAGCTAAAACGTTTCGTATGCCAGTCCCAGCTTTTTGACCATGACTGATTTGATGTGTAGGTATATCATCAAAACCATCGGTTGAAACGGTGTCCTCAAAGTTATAACCGTCCTTTTCCCTTACAAAATTGTGAAGGACGACACATGCTTTAACAATATTAACCGCTAAGTCTGTATGGACATTAAGAGGACGATGAAAAATTCTCCACTTATTTGCCAGTATTCCGAATGTGCATTCTACATACCTTCTTGCTCGACAGAGGCGGTAGTTAAAAATTTTTTTTTTATAATTTAAGTCTTTCCCTGCAAATGGTCTAAGTAAATGAGTACTCAAGGCGAAACCTTCATCTCCGATAAAAAAGTAAGGTATGTCTGGATTTAATGAACCATAGAGGGCCTAGGATTTGGTAACTGTAGTTTTTGAGTCTGAATGTTTTTCCACAAAGAACTTTCTTTAAAAACCGTTGAGTCACATTCACTTCCGTATGCACCAACGTCAACGTAAATAAATCGATAGTTGCTATCAGCAACAGCCATCAGCACTACCGAAAAATAGCTTTTATAATTAAAGAACATGGATCCACTACCAATTGGTTTAATTATTCGGATATGCTTGCCGTCAACGGCTCCTATACAATGTGGAAAATTTGCTCTTTCTTCAAAACCTTCGGCTACATTTTGTAATAGTTCGCTATTAAGTTTAGGCAAAAAGTCGTCGGTTAACTTTAACCAAATAATATTACAAACTTCTCGCACAATGTTCGCTATTGTAGATATTCCCATTCGATAACTGTAATGTAGATCTGTGAAATAACATCCACTACCGAGGTACCTGAAAAAGAAAGTAGTAACTGTAATTGATCATAGTTTTAGTAGGAAAATGGCCCTTGGTGAAATTTTCTAAATTATTGATATGTTCACACACACACGATATGCGAATTTTTCCGGAGTTGGTTCATACAAACAAAACAAGCTTTGCGCTTTTTATCTCCGGTTCCACAACCCCTGAGGTCAAGGGATATTCGCGGCCGTTTCTGAAGCTCCAACAACTACTATCCGGCAGACGCCCCGCCGATTATTGGATTACAGAACTCCAGAAGCATGACGACAATAGAATAGGCCGAAATTGTTTTGATATGTTATATTTCTCATCATCCTGATCAAAAGTCTCCGGCCCAACTCAATCCTATGACTAGTTTTTGAGATACAGGGTGTTAAACTTTAAAATGGATTGAATTTATGTTACACAAAAACGTTTACTACAAGTTTAAGTAGTAGTAAAATGAAACCATTTTAAACTGTAACACCCTCTATCTCGAAAACTACTCATAGATTGAGTTGGGTCCATGGTTGATGATAATTACAACATATCAAAAATGTAGAAAATTTCATCAAGGGTCATTTTCCTACTAAAAAGCGCGGGGTCCTTTGACTTGTTCACTATGTTCACCTTGAAGTCACACAAATTTTACACGATTCTCTTATTGCAGGTACATTGGTTTTGAAACGTTGGACAAATATTCGAGACCAATGGATGAAGTGGAAAAAGAGGGTTAACGACGTAAAAAAATCAGGAGCAGGAGCATCAAAAATAAGAAAGTATATTTATGCTGAACAATTAAAGTTTCTGGAGAAAATTCCGACCCACAGACCAACAGAATCTAATATTCCAAATGAAGGCGAAGAACAACACGAAAGTGAAAACGATTCACAACAAAATAAGGACCAAGCTACTGGCACCCCTGTAACAGAAGTAGCACCAGAAAAAACAACTACCAAACGTCGTGATGGTGCTCACAAAGTAACCCAAGTGCAAACAAAAAGCGTAGAATGGACGAGTTTGAATTGCGAATGCTGAAAAGCTTGGAGTCGGATGAGCCGCAAGACCGGCACTTACTGTTTTTTAAAGGCGTCCTACCTTCTATTCAAGGTTTTAATGACTCCCAAACTATTGAGTTTCAGATGGGAATTTTACAGTTGGTAAAAAACATTAAATCGGGAAATCCTCATCTGCCGGCTGTCAACCAACAAACGCCTCTCTACTATTCTACGCTACACAATCCATATCCTCCAGCGCACCCTCGACCTCAGCAACATTTTGTACCTGGACACAAGACAACAGTCAAGCTACGGCTTTTAATAATACACAGACACAGTCCAATATGTTAACTGCAGCAACAACACATTACCAAGAAGAGTATACTCGTCAAACATCAACACCTCTTTCAACAGAAGCAGGACACCCTCCTCACTTTCTTCATTCTTGTCAGATATGGATTTTTAATACAGTTGTTGTTATTAACTCAATAATAAAGCTTATTTTTTAGTAATAATTAATTAAACTTCCCAACTTACCTTAATGTTACTGCCAACATTTCTATAGGTGGAATACAATTTCTTAAGTGGGTATTTTCTTTCTGGATATGAGGTTGTAGTACTTTAGTAGTTCATCAAAAGTAGAAATAGACATTCGAAAGTAATTGAAAAATTTCACATTATCTTCCCTTAGCTGGGAAAATAGTGTCTGAAATGTACCAACAATATACCGTTGTGCAACTATTGGATGAACCCAAACAGTTCTCAATTTTTTTGTTTGCGACGATGTCTTAATAAAGAAATAATAATCATTTTCTTACGTCTGTCCATAATGAAAGAACACTGAATACTGCACTGATACTGAAAATGATGTGAGGTCTCCGATCGAGAGAAATCGGATAAACAGGTATGCGCTGTGTAAAATTCATACGAAAAACACTCGGACCGTTAAAGACCCGGTCGGTGTTTTTCTTATAGTATGTAACGACACTTAAGCATAATATTAGTCTAATATTGGAGGATACCTTTGCAAATAAATAATTTTCTTGAAGATTATGCAATGGAATGCACGTTCGGTAATATCTAATAAAAATTCAGTAAATGGAATATTAAAAAAGCAAACTGGAAACTGTATACAGATATTGTAGACTCTCTCTTTGAGAATAATATGAAATTTGAAAACACTGGCGAAAAGTATTGCTTTTTTAATAATAGCATAAAATGAGGCTGCAGAAAAGGCAATACCTGCTTTTAAACCGTTCACTAGCAAAAATTATCTTCCGCCTCCTTGGTGGGATAATGAATGTTGTAATGTTGTAAATAGTAGAAAAAAAAAGCTATTAAATTATATAAGAAATCTCCTACAATGGCCAATAACATACAATGCCAAAATCTTATATGCTTATGCTTATATCAGAAGCCAAAATATTTCTAAAAAATAAAGCCAGAAGGAGCTGGATTGATTGGTGCTCAAAGTTGAATAAAAATATACCGTCAACAAGCTTATGGAATCAAGCTAGAAAATTAAACAGAAATCCAATTTCTTCTA